TGTTCTCTCCATATCACTTGAGTGTGGGTTTTCCCTTTCTGTGGAAATAGATGGCTTTGCTTCAAATCTTCTTCCTGCTGTTTGTGATGTCATCTCTAGTATTTCCATTGACCCGATGATCTCTTCCTAGTGACTAATGCCAATCATCACTCCCTTGGGAACCAACTTCATGAAGAATTAGCCAATGAAGCCTTCTACTTAACCTAGAAAAAATATTTAATTCCAGTAAAGGCTAGGAGAAAAAAAATGAACTAAAAACTGTCCCTCCATTATCTCCAAATGACCTCAAAAACTGCACTTCTTTCAAAGTCAGCTTTTCAGAGGGATCAATTTATTATAAAATGTACTTTTTTCTAACTGAACACGGGTAATTCTGTATCCTTATTGCTAGACTCAGTCTCCAAACTGCATACATTTGGAGGTTGGTTGTTTATAAAGAAGCCATCTTAGCCCAGCTGAACCAAAATAGGCAAGTTCTATTTATTCATTCATTCAATAAATGCTTCTTGAGTACATACTATGTGTGAGACCTATTCTAGGTGTTGAGGGAAAAAAGGTGAAAAAAGGTTGTAAAATATCAGTGGAACTACTAAGATGATTATCATGAAAAAAAAAAAAATACTCAACATGAGAAAAAGGAGTTAGTCCAAAAAAGTACTGACTCTCAACAGTTGAAGCAATTCTCTAAATGATTTTAGCCTTCACCCAAATAACCCACCCAAAAAACCCTAGCAATACTACTATCTTATTCATTCATTATATAGGATAATAATTATTAACTTTGCCTAAACTGCTAAAACAAAATCTGAATCATGGTTCTCACTAACTATTTAAGGGATCCTTGTCAAATGATCTCACCTCTGTATACTGCAGTATCCCTATCTATAAAACAGAATTACTGGTATTGATTAGTCCAGGAAAGAGACTAATCATACAAAGTAAAAATCAAAATCAACAAGCAACTATAAACCAGAGACACACTGCGGGGGGGGTGCGGGGAGAGGAAGGACTAGAGTCAAAATAAGGGGGGGTGCAATTGTATGGGGAATATAACCATAATGAAAATGCACACATTGTGCAAAGATGAAAAATGATGTAAGAATTATATAAAATAAAATATTATTTTTTTAAAAAGGGACTAAAAAAAAAAACCACACAGAATTACTGGTATTACCTGTCTCAAAGAGCTGCTGTGTGAAGTAAATTAAATGCTGCATATTAGCCAGTGGTGAGTACTTAGGAAAAGTTGATTATTACCATTTATACAATAGATTTTTACCTGAATTAGATAGTTAGCTCAAATGTCTTATTCATTTCATATAATTTCAAACATCTTCCTAAGATTCTTAAGACTGGTATCCAGATGTACATTCAATGGCAAACGAATACAGGTAAGAAAGAAATAGATTCAGTGAGAGTGAGCTATTCAGAAACCCACGCTGTTGACCACCTTAGGAGGTAACCAAGGACATTTTGTGTTTTCCTTCCCTGTCAGCTCTTGTGGAAATGACTAGGTTGTATCAGAAGCAATTTTAAAGAACAATAAACAGAGTTCATCCTTTAAAGGCAATTTCTTATAAAGGACATTTAAGAGAAAGTGGACATGAGAAGCTTCTGTCCTCACGTAAAATAACTTCTATACCATTGGTTTCTCTTTGTCAGGAGGGATTTAATTGAAAGGAAATTTTTTAACGAGAGAAATTGAAAAGTGGCATATATTTATCCTTCAAAAATTAATTGACATATAGCTTGTTAGTTTCATAATGCAACATAATGACTTGATATATGATCAAGTCATTGATACAATGATCACTACGTATACTTCCAATATAAGACTTCCAATGTAAGACTTATACCATAAGAAGATTATACTGACAATAGAAGTCTAATTTACTTCCATCCCCACATAAAGCTACATGCTTTTTTCTTGTGATGAGAACATTTAAGGTCTACTCTTAGCAACTAGCAAATACACACTTCAATATTATTAACTATAATCACCATGCTGTATGCTACATCCCAAGATTTATCTACCTTATAATTAAAAGTCTACCTTTTGACCACTTTCATCCATTTCACCTCTCCCTCCCCATCCTGCTCCCTCTTTAGCAACTATCAATCTGTTCTCTGTATCTATGGTTCATTTTTTATTTGTCTCTCTCTTATTTCACTTAGCATTATGTCCTCAGGTCCTTCCATATATGCATGTTGTTGCAAATAAAATTCCCATGTTTTATGACAATAAATTCCATTGTATTTCAACACCATATTTACTTTACCCATTCATCCATCAAGTGCTACTGATGCTGCCTCTGTGCTTTGGCTATTGTAAATGCACATGGTGCAGAAATCTTTTGAGTTTGTGTTTTCATTTCCTTCAGATAAATACCTGGAAGTGGAATTGCTGAATCATATGGCAGTTCTATTTTTATGTTTTGAGGACCCTCCATACTTTTTCCATAAATAGTAAATAATGACTGCTATTTACATTCTCACCAAGCATGCACAAGGGTTTCCTATTCTCCACATCCTCATCAACACTTGTTATTTCTTGTCTTTTTGATAAAAGCATCATTCTAATGAATGTGAGGTGATATCTCACTGTGGTTTGTATTTGCATTTTCCTGATAATTAGTGATGCCAAGCACCTTTTCATGTACTGTTGGCTGTCAGTTTTTTTTGGGCGGGGGGTGGGGGGTGTCTATTCTGATCTTTTCATTTTTAAATCATGTATTCCTTTTTTTGCTATTGAGTTATATGAATTCTAAACATATTTTTGTATCAGATAGATACAATTTCCAAATATTTTCTCCCATTCTATAGTTTGTCTTTTCATTGTGTTGATAGTTTCCTTTGCTGTGCAGCTTTTTAGTTTTATTTATTTCCACTTGTCTATTTTTGCTTCTGTTACCTTTGCTTTTGGTGTCAGATTCAAAAAGTCATCACTAAGACTGATGTCAAGGAGTTTACTGCCTATATTCTAGAAATTTTATGGTTTCAATCTTATGTTTACATGTCTAATCCATTTTAAGTTGACTTTAAAATATGGTGTAAGAGAGAGGTCCAGGTTCATTATTTTAAATGTGGCTGTCCAGTCATCGAAAGAGAGTGTCTTTACCCTGTTGTGTATTTGTTCCTCCTTTGTGGTAAATCAATTTACCATATATGCATAAGTTCACTTCTGGGTTTTCTATTCTGTTTCTTTCATCTATCTACATGTCTGGAAAAATGCTGTATTTTTGAGTAATTTTACAGTGGAAGTTTAAGAATATTTTCCATAGGAAACAGCTAATATATTAATTTCTTGATATTTTTCTGTTCCTTGCTGAACTCTTAGCAACTCTCAGGCCCTGTGATTGTGGTAAGTTTTAATAGATAATTAAAAGAAAGATTGTGTATTAGAAAAAAGTGTATTTTAGTGAACTATTTTGAAGACAAGAAAAATATTTAAAATATCCTTTTAAAATATTGTGTGCTTTATATGTGTTGCTATTTTACTATTTTTATATACAATTGCCTATAGCCATTACAACTTTCAGTATAAATTAGACAATAGCAATATTAATCCAATTGGTTAACAACTTCTTTAGAAAAACAGGGTCTTGCCAAGTCGTTTTCCCTTCCACCAGGAAAAATATTGCATTAATATATTACTATTTTCAGAATATTGACACTTACTGCTATTGACCTGGTGCTGGCAATCTTAAGTATTTTCAAGCCTGACTGACAACCTAGCAAGCAACAGAGAACTACAGTTCTGGGCAAATACACATTACTCATATCTTTAACCAAAACTGCCATTTCCTTTATCTTGAAATTGAGGGCTGGTGAAAGAAGTGCTTTTGAACTATGCAGGATTAAACAATTCTCTCCCCGCCCCCGCCCCCCAAATTTGCATCCCGAGGCAGAGGTAGGTGTAGCTTTAAGTGTCAGCTTTGAGCTGCTTGCTGCTTCAAGCATCTTTGTCTGGCACAAGGCAAGTGGAAGTGATTGAGAAATCCCTGAGACCGGTGCTTCCCCTCGGAGTCCAAGACTCTGTCTCCCTGTGCACTGCCTCTCCTCGGCTCTCTAAACCCTGGAGCTGTCATGGGCTCAAGGTCCACTCCTACCCACTGCCTAGACTCGCTCTTAACCTTCTGGGGCTGGACTCACAGAAAGCTGAGGACCTTGTCAGGATGAGGGTAGGGGTTGGGGAAAACACAGTTTAAAAGCTCCGAGAAACTTTAAGGAGACCACGGATGTGAAACACTCCCCGGACTGCAAAACTCTTGACTTGGGGCGACTAAATCCGGACAGCTTAGTTCAGATGCCAAATCTCCTCCCAAATGAGCAGCTGTAGAAAAGGAAGGCGCTTCTGCAATGGGACACTTTCACTCCGAAGAAGTCAGAAGAAGGAGGCAGACTGCAACAGAGAGAGCTTCCTAAAGAGATAAAGGAGGACAGAACTGTTGGGAAGAGATGGGAACAGGAAAGAGGAAAGGGAGAAATACGGAAAATAGGGGCGCAGTAAGGGGGGGGAGGGACCTTGGCGGGAGGAGTTGGGTAGAAGTGGGGGTGCGAGGCGGGGAGGGGCACTGAAACACCAGAGTAAGGAAGAGAAAAGAGAGAAGCCGGGACCCAGCAAGGAGAAGGGGCAGCGAAGAGAGAGCGCACAGGGGGCGAGCGAGAGGGTACGAGATACCAGAGATTGCAAGAGCCAGAAAGGAAAGGGGAGAGAACTTTCTCCGCTTTCCCTGCCTTGGGCAGGAGCCTCTGAAAACCCCAACTCCACGAGGTGGCAGGGACCGCGATCGGCTGCGCGGGGTCTCGGGCCTCCGTCTCCAGCTGCCAGACGCCGGCGAGAGTCCCACACCGGCCGGCTGAGGAGGGGACACAGTCTGGAAGGAGGCGGTCCCCGTTTGCTACGCTTTCTCCACCCCCCTCCTCTTAGAGGCGGGCACCCAGGGTATTTGAGCGGCGGAGGACCCGCGCCCCCCCTCCGCCAGCCTCCGCCCCCCCAACCCCCCATTCAAGAAGCGGCTCCGCTATCCCCGGCAGCACAGGGCGCCCGGCGCGCCTCGGAGCGCAAGTCCCGCGCCTTCTCCTGCCAGCTCCCTGGACATTATGCGGCCGAGCAACCGAGCCCCAGTCCTCCTCCTCCTGCTCCTCCTGCTCCTCCTGCGGCTCGAGCCGCTCAGCTCTCGGCAGGCGGCGGCGTTGCTCAGCCGAGCGCAGACGGGACCCTCGCGACGCAACCTCAGCGACTCCTAAAGTCAAAAGTTGGCGGCGGGCGCCCGGCTCCGCGCGCTCTCCGCGGCCGCTGCCTCGCGTCGCCACCGCAGCCAAGGAGGGCAGGAGGGAGGGGAGCGGGGGTGGCAGGGGGAGGGGTGGGGAGCACCATGCAGTTTGTATCCTGGGCCACACTGCTAACGCTCCTGGTGCCGGACCTGGCCGAGATGGGGAGCCCAGACGCCGCGGCCGCCGTGCGCAAGGACAGGCTGCACCCGAGGCAAGGTAACGAGGCGCTGGCCCCGGGACACCTCCGCGCCCGGCAGCCGGCACCCCGCAGCGGAGGCCGCTCTCCTTTTCCTAGAAAGAATTATCTCCCGCTTTGCAGCCTCTCCTTTCTTCGGTCATTCCCAGGACATTTCTAAGGAGATTCACCACGGAACAAACTTCCTCCACACCCTTCTTCCCCCAGTTTGCTTTTAGCCTTCCTAGTCTTTCGCCTTCCCAATCCCTATCCCCCAAACTAGTTACTTAATAACTGGGGGCACCCGATAGCTGCATGCTTTATTTTATTCAGGATCTGAAATTATGTATTTTGACGTGCTCATTGTCTGGCTCCGTCCGAAAGGGATATCCTCCGCGCCTATGTGCCAGCACGGTTCCTGGCACATAGTAGGTGCTCAGCAAATATTTTTCTACCGCCGGGAGGCTGAAGAGATTGACTCATGGGAAGAAAAAAAAAATAATAATCCTGGAAAGTAACCCAAGACGAGAACACCCCTTCATTTTAAATTAAAACTTGGGGGAAATTTAGTTATTTGATTCATGTGTCTCTGCTTCTCTCTGCAGTGCAACTCTTAGAGACCCTGCAAGAATACGAAGTCGCGTCTCCCATCCGAGTGAATGCTCTAGGAGAACCCTTTCCCGCGAACGTGCACTTCAAAAGAAGGCGACGGAGCATTAATTCTGCCTCTGACCCCTGGCCTGCCTTCGCTGCCTCCTCTTCTTCCTCTACCTCCCCCCAGGCGCATTACCGCCTCTCTGCCTTCGGCCAGCAGTTTCTATTTAATCTCACCGCCCATGCCGGATTTATCGCTCCACTATTCACTGTCACCCTCCTCGGGGCGCCTGGGATGAACCAGACAAAGTTTTATTCCGAGGAGGAATCAGAACTCAAACACTGTTTCTACAAAGGCCATGTCAATACCAAGTCCGAACACACGGCCGTCATCAGCCTCTGCTCAGGAATGGTAAGTGGGAGCGCGCCTCCACCCCTCCCTTCCCCTCCCGCCTCTTCACACACTCGGGAAGACTTGTTGCTCTTTAGCCTAAGATCCTTACTGCACCCAGTCTCCGCTCTGGCGTTAAAATCAGCTAGAAACTCGTTCTCGTCCTTCGGTTTGGGTGGGTAGCCCAGTGCGTGCGCGAACACTGGAGAGGAGCGCACGCATCCGCCCTCGGGGGGTTCTGGACGTTTCGGTGCTTTCTAGGGTCGAAACTTGGCACAGCTGCCCTTAGCCCGGTGCCGCGAGGCGGCTTGGAAGTTTGGTTTCCAAACTCAAGAGAGAGCAGTCCTTCCTACCAGCAAACTCGGCCGCCCAGGAGCGGAGCTGCCGAGCTTAAGGAGGACCCGATTCCTTATTGGCGCATCTTGAGTCCGGCGTGTGGGTTGAGAATATCCAAGTCTAGGGTACTGGGAGTTCCTTCTCTGCGTGTCGTGGGGGCGGTGCGTAGAGTCCCTAAGTTTTCTCAGGGCCTTTTTTTTTTTTTTTTTCCACGCGCCAGGAACCCTGAGGCTGAACAGGATTGACGTGAAAGGTCCTGTCCCAAGAACGGAAGGGTGGGCCTAGGACTCCGGGGCGGGGAAGAGGGCGGAGCCTACCCCGGACGCTTCGAATTAGGGTGGAAACTAGGAATGGGGGTGCGGCACAGTCCGAGTCTGCACCCTGCTGGCGGGGTGTACCGGAAAAGCGGAAATAGTGTGAGACAGACTGGAGAGTCTTCCCTGACATTATTTTGGTGTGGGGGGGGTTTCTGCCACCCATGGGGGTTGCACAAAATCCAAAGAGGGAGCCCAAAGCGCCTTTTTCTCTAGGAAAGGAGGGCGGGGCAGCCACCTTCCTGCGCAGCAGAATGCGCACTTAGCAGGGTTCCAACCTGGTACCCTGGCCCGCTGATTCCCTTCCCCACCCCACCCCTATTTGCCCTCCAGTAGGTACCATAGGCCATCCGCCCCCCACCCTGTCCCCCCTATGGACATTGGAAAACCCGCCGTAAGGTTTCTGCGCAAATGAGAGTGGTCCTTGACTTTCCCAAGCGACGTGCGTTTCTACTACGCGCGAATGACGCAGAAACTTTCCCGGGTCCGGCTTCTCCAGCGCACAGCATTGTGCGCACTGCGAGCCGCTGCTGTGTTTACTCTGCCCCTCAACACCCACATTCCCGTCACTTTTCTCTACGTGAGCGCACAGATACTTACCCCGGGCGCTCGCTCGGCTGGCCTCTCCGCGCTCTCTTGGTGGGTATGAAGTTCCGGGTCTGAGTGTTGCATCCATCTCCGCCGCTCCACGAAGGTTTGGGTGGGGAGCAAGAAAAGCCTGGAGACTGGCAAAGAGGTTTCCCTTGCTGAGATATAGGGATGGAATTGTGCCCTTGTTATCCCCCAGCAACGCACCCGGAGCCGCAGCAGCGCATCGTTGAGATGGTTCGGGGTGGGCGGAGACGACAGTTTGGCACAGAGGGATGGGGTGCTGCAAGTGAGTCATCGCTGCCCTCAGACCTAGGGCCAGAGCGCAGAAATCCTTCCGTTCTTCATTAAGTTATGGCCTGGGTGGGCATAGTCAGGTGCCTGAACCCCGGGCATCAGAGCGCCTCCAGATCCCAAGATTGTAACCCCAATTCCAGAACCTTGCGATTAGCACTGCGTGTGTATGTCAAGTTTGTAAACAGCCTTTACTCCTCCTCCTTCCCCGCCTCCACACCCCGCTGAGTGGCCCCCGCAGTTGCATGAATATTTTGCTGCGCAGGACCTTAATTTCTATTGGGTGGTAACGCGCACGCGGATGGACGAGTGGTAACTCTCTTTGGGAACTGAGGCCTCGGACTTCAGAAACTCCTGGTTAGACTGTGATAACCCCAAGTTACCTTTAATTTACTCTCTGATTCTTTTTCTGGAAAAATGTCTGAATTCCATTTTAAATGCATGCACACTATTTCTATCTTAAGCGATTCATCCAGCCCCAAAGCCCTCACCCTTTTATCTTTCAGTTTATCTTACCCCTCTCCCCCGCCAAGACTTTCCCTTACCACTTACGTAAGGTAGTGTTGTGTTGTTCTAACAGCAATCTCCTGCTCTTTAGTATGGGCCATGCCAACCTCTCTCACCCCTGCACCCCCAGCCAGTTACCAGTTTCGCTGAACTCCACCTCAGGTGTGTGACTCACTTCTCGTGAACACCTCAACCCTCATTCCAGCCCCCTGTCCTCTCTCTTAGGACTGATTCCTAAGATAGTTCCACCTGGCTTCTTTTCTCCTTCAGCCTTGTCCTCCACAGCAAGTGCTGCTCACACTAATACGTAAGTGACACTGGATTAAAGATCTCATCACTGCCCTGGCATCTTACTTTACAGAGCTTGCCATTGCCCGGTAAGCACTTCCAAACTCCCCTGTCTGGCACTTCAGACCTTTTGTGATAGGACCTCCTCACCCTGCACACGTCTGTACGCCATCTCGTCTCTCAATCTTTCCTCCACAAATTCTGTTTCAGGCAATCTGCTTTTGCTCCTTTCTCTGAATTTTCCTAGTCCTAGCTCATTCTCTTTGCACCTTTAGATTTACTTGGTCTTCTCATGCATCTTCACACACTTGAATCACCCCCTTCTTTTAAAGTGTAATTTACATGCCTCTCTAGCAAGCCTCTTCCTAGCCCTTCCGACGGATGTCATCTTCCCTGTCCAACTTCTTGGATACTTACTAGTATGTCTTACCATTGTGCCACTTGTTGTACTTTCTCTTGGTGCCCATGTACTATCCCTTTCTCCTGGCAGCAGGGTCAGTGTCATTGTGTTTCACTCTCATCCTGGAGCCTTGTATATTGTAGGTCCTTAGTACATGTGTTTGAATAAATGATTACCTTAACCGAAAAAAGGATTACTCTTCCATCAAACAACTCATTTCTGAGTTGGCCACAAAGTTAATTTGGCATCATGTAGATGCCATTTATTGAACACTGATTGTGTGCCTGGCACGGTCATGAGTACTGTGCATGTCCATTATCTTACTCAAATCCTCACAACAACCTATTTTAAAGATGAAGACACTGAGGCATAGAGAGTTGCCCAAGGTCTCACACAGTTGGTTTTTGGTAGCGTTGTGGTCGCACGCAGCCTCTCTGACTATATTCATACAGTGTATTTCAAAGCTTGTTTATACAGAGGCATTAGAATATTCAGGGCAGCTTAATTTTTGAATCTACACTGACACTGTTTAGCTGCTTTTCTATGATTGAAGAGGAACTTTGGACAAGTCACTTCTCCCTGGCCTCAGCTTCCCCTTTTGCCAATCCAAGGGCCCGATTTTCATCAGATGAGCTCCCAAGCTCCTTCCTAATGCTTTTGGCCCGTGTCTAAGAGGCTTAAGTGATGTACGTTTCCTACTCTGTGGCTCAGAAGACACTAGCGTTGTGTACTGAAAGCAGGAAGAGTTGGCTGGATGAGAATGAATTTGTCAAATATCTTCTTGGGTATCCAGCTACTCATCTTTTAGTTTTTTGTTTTTTTTTTTTTAAGATTTATTTATTTATACAAGAACTGGGGTACAGGCCAGAGGTGCTGGAGGGTGAGAGGATTCACCAGAGACAGAGCGGGGAGCAGAACAGGCAGACAGACCAAAAACACTGCTGAGAGGAGCAGTGGGCAAGACAGGAGAGGTCAGCCGTGCCACGTGGGTCACTTCCTGGCCAGCCGGGATCGAACCTGTGCTGCAGAGGCTGCAGACAGCTTCACGGAGCTGCGCTCAACCCGCTGCGTCACTGGGGAGGCCCTTGTCTTTTAGTTTGACCACACCAGGCTGTCCCTTCCTTGAGCCAGTGGCTGTGGATCGTGTGCAAACTTGATTTTTTAATTTGTTTTTCATTTCTTAATTTATACTTTTTGAAATTAATTTGTATGTCATTTACTTGTCTTTATAACTTCGGGGTTACGTTTTTAACTTCTCCGTATATACACGATTCACTCACCCTCCACCAGACCTCCCATGCCAATTTCCTATCCTCTTCTCCCTCTGCCCCTGTTCTAGTAACCAGTTTATTTTTCCCAGAGTCTAAGAATTATTTGTGCTGTCATTTCCCAGTATATGTTTTCTGGTTATTTATATTCCACAGGTAAGGGAAACCATCTGATATCTGTCTTTTGACTTTCTCACTTAATGTAGTTTCATGGTTATTTTTTTCTTTTTTGGAAAGCTTTTAAGCAATAGAGTTTCTTGACCTATCCCTGGAAATCCTGAATCCTTGTGTATGGTATAATGCCCAAATCTCTAATTTTTTAAAAAGTTTTCCAGGCTAAGATGCTTAGCTGGTTTTGGAAACCCTAGTGTTTTACCCTCATACTTTCAAAAGTTCACCACATAAGAATACCCTAGAATCTCATCAAATTGTCAGTTCCTCCACCTTGCCACTGAGATTTTTAGACTTTAGATCAGATTTGGGGTAGAACCCAATTATTTGAATTTCAAACAAATGCCTGGATAATACTAATGCTGTCAAGGACTTTCAAGGTCAGTCAGGTAAAGGGTCTCTGCTTATTTTTTGTTTTGCCCCAATGTGGAAAAATAAATAATGGAGATTTTCTCCCTTTAAGCTCTGCCCATTGACATGGTATAGGAACTTTCCAGCTCTCTTGTAATGTTTGGTTTGGACGGTTCAGCTTGCACATGATTTTTCATTAGGAAAACTTGGAGATTTGTAGGAAGGGGAGGAAAAAGAGTTACCTCTTTCACTGAATGACTGGACAAAGCAAATTGTAGTCTGGTGGTTAAGAGGCTAACAAACAACACCAAAGCCACTAATGTGTTCTAAGCCCTTAAAAGGTGTCACTTTGTTAAGCACTTCACATGCATTATTTCATTTAATCTGCAGTATTACAATAAGTATTTTTGATCTCCAGTTGATAAGGAAGCTGAATCTCACAGCAGTTAAGGGAATTGCCAAGGTGGGTGGGTAGGGGTGGGCTGAAACTTAGGACAGCCTCACTCCAAGACCTTGTATCCTATCAAAGGGAAGGGGCAGTGACTTACATGCCCACATCATAGGTGGAATGTCATCATCTTAGTGAGGTAGGTATATTTCCATTGCACAGATAGGGATGCTAGAGAAAGGATCAGTGACTATTAGCAGCTAATGAGTAACAATGAGTAACAATGAGTAACAATCAGGATTTGAACTGAAATATTTAAATGTCTTGTGGTTAAGATATATTTCCTGAATTCAAATTAATGATAAGGCTTCTAGAGGGCAGCTCGTCCCCTCTGGGGTTCACACTAGTCCCAAGTTTCAAGACTGAAACAGTCTCTTTCAATAGCATGTAGGTGTTAGTATGATTAGAACTTGAGAACCAAGGAAGTATTTCTTTTTGCTTTTAAGATTTGTTTATTTATGTATACAAGAATTGGGGTACAGGCCAGAGGTGCAAGGGGTGAGAAGATTCACCAGAGACAGAGTGGGGAGCAGAACAGGTGGTTTGACTGAAAGACACTGCTGAGGGGAGCAGCAGGCAAGACAGGAGAGGTCTGCTGCACCATGTGGGTAACCTCCCTGGCTGGGGATGGAACTCATGCTGCAGTAGCTGTGGATTGCCTCATAGTGCTGAAGCTTAACCCCTTGCGCCACCAGGGAGGCCCCTCCCAAAGAATTATTTCTCAGAGACATATTTGGATGGCAGGTGCAAGAATAAGGTGCTAATGTGGCAGAGAGTGGAAATAAACTGCTTTTCCAAATATGTCGGCAGCAGTTTCAGTTTCAGCAGCCCTCGGGGAAAGGCACGGGGTGAAATGGTACCGCCTCTGCTCGGCCTGCTCTGCAGTTGTTTTCTTTCCATTAATTGAGTTACGTTAAATCAACCTCACGTCTCTCTTCTTTGCAGCTGGGCACATTCCGGTCCCATGATGGGGATTATTTTATTGAACCACTACTGTCCATTGATGAACAAGAAGATGAAGAGGAGCAAAACAAACCCCACATTATCTATAGGCGCAGTAACCCGCACAGAGAGCCCTCCACGGGAAGGCGTGTGTGTGACACCTCAGGTATTTGCTTCTTGCTTAAGCAGAGGTCCTGGCTCTGAGATGGGTTAATTTCCATACTACAAAGATGTTGCTCATTCTCATTCTACAAAGTGCTTTATGTGCAGTATCTTTCATTTAGTCTTCAGCAAGGTAGGTATATTCCCAAAGCTAAAGGGAGCTTTTGTGACTTTAAGCTGATAACAAAAGACAAAGTCAGGATTTGTACTTAAAAAAGCGGTGGCTCGTATCTTATTTTGGGTCCAGCTGCCTCTTGTTGGAGTGCTAATGTTTAGAATTAAGCTTTAGTAATATTGTGAGGCTGTTCTAGCCATGTCCTCCATCAGTAATTGCTTGTGTTCTCTTGATGTTTTCTACTCCTCTGTGTTTTTGTGTTTTGTTTCACCATGTAGGATTGCAACAAATTCTACACATGAAACTAACAAAAACTTCTTTGTGTCTATTGAGACTTTTTTTTATCAACTTCAGATTAACTATTGATTTAAGGCTTCTGGAAATATAGGACTGGAATTGTAGGTGGCTCTGTCAGGTTTCAGTCAGATCAGTCTATGCCTTCCAAGACTAGCCAGTTGGAGGGCATTTGTAGATTCCTTCATCCTGGCCAGAAGATTCTTTAAGGGTTTATGCTAACATGCTTGGTCAAGATATGTCATTCTGGAGGCTGTGGGAAACATATGCTTGTTGGTGTTTCCCAATCTGCAATCTTGAAGCAATCCTGTCTTTGAAGCCTGGTTACTTCCTCACTGATGATAGCTTATCATTAACAATTATCCTCTAGTTTAGTCCTGTTTTAGGATGTTCATTAAAATACTATTTTTATTCTTGGACTTCGAGTTTCTAAAAATTTATGCTTCTCCTTATTCTGTTTTTAAAAGTTGCATCTCCAGATTAAGAAACTTCTTGAGGTATAGCTGGTATATCCAATTGAGACCAACAGGGAACTTTTTCACATGCTTTCGAAATGACCATTCATTCCTCCTTGTTATATCTGCATCCGGTTCTTCTCCTGGGGCAAAGTATGGTGTCCTGTTCTCTCCTGGAATTATTTCTAAAGTGAATCCTTAATAGAATATAGCATTGGTACCCCCTGCACCTCTGGCCTGTACCCCAGTTCTTGTATTACTTATAACCCAGAAGTAGCCAAGTGGTAAGTTATACTATCTTAGGTCTTTGGCTTTATCTGATCCAGTGCTGTGTTCTTACCCCAGGGATGGAAGGAATACAACGGAGATATTCTGTTACTTCAACTCTGTAGAGTCAAGGAAGGGGATTAGGAGGGACATTACCTATACTATTTCCCTTAATGCTTACCACAGTTCCAGGAGGTGGCTACCATTTTTTTACTCCATTATATATAGTAAAAAAGACAAAGCTGTCAGAAATGAGGCAGCTAGTCCCTAATGGCAACCCATAATTGCCTGTCTTATTCCTTGTCCCACTTTTCTCTGTGCATGCATTTGGGAGTATGTGAGAGAGAGAAGTCTTATTGCTGTCATTCAAAAAATAAATCATGCTTATTTTCAATAATAATTACCTAATTCATGAACCATTCATTTTCTGGGCAGGAGGACAAGTCATTATCAAGTTTTGTGAAAAACAAAAGAAAAAGGAATGTGACAACATTGAGGATGACAGGAGATGTCTTAATTAGAAAACAAAAACTTACTTGGGTTCTAATCATTATTGCTATTTGGGTTCTAAGAGCCACCCTCCAAGTCACCAGTGCCAACTTTTGGTTTTCTTGCTGGTTTTTGCTTGCCAACAAAAACCCTTCCTTAGCTCAGGTGATGAATTGGGAGCCCCGCAGTTCTGATTGGCTCTTCCACAGGTTGCTGCTAGACTATGCTACTCTGGTTTCTGTATTCCAGCTGCTTCTACACCCCTTCTTTGAATTCAGATGCAGGATTTGAATTCAGAACAGTAGGATATAACTTGTAATATGACACAATTCACCAACAGCCATTAGAGAGACAGACCAGCAGGTCATGAAAACCTCCAAAACCACGTAGCCTTTGCACAGGGAGTGAAAATAGGTGTGTGTGGTGGGGAATATAAGGCCAGGAAGGAAAAAGGCTGCCTGAGAATAGAACATTAGTCCATTCAGGTGTTTCCCCCCACTCCCACCTCCCCAGTGTGGTTGGTAACCAAGAGTTAACTTTAAAGTACACAGGGCGCCTCATGCAAATGCAGATATGCAGATTCTTTAAACTAACAAACCCCTCCTGAGCAAATGACATAGAGCAAAACACAGTGGGTTTACTCCAGTGATCCAGAAGTTCAGCTAAATGTAAGAGTGGCTGCTAAAGATGAATTTAAGGCAACAACTACTACATCACTTACTGTTTGCATTACCCTGGACCTGGGTAATCATTTCTGGACCATCATTTCTTTCTAATTTATCATCCCATAGGATGATAGAATATTTGAGTTGGAAAAACCTGTAAGAATCAGCTCCAGGGGCCTCCCCGGTGACGCAGTGGTTGAGCACTGGGGCCTCTGCAGCGCCAGTTCGATCCGGGCAGCCAGCGAGGGTCCCACATCGCGTGCAGACCTCTCCTGCCACGCCTGCTGCTCCCCTCAGCAGTGTACTTCTGTCCTTCTGCCTGCTCTGCTCCCCACTCTGGCTCTGGTGAATTCTCTCACCCTCCCGTGCTTCTGACTGTACCCAGTGCTTGTATAAATAAATAAACAAATCTTTAAAAAAAAAAAGGGTATTTCTAAAAAAAAAAAAAATCAGCTCCAGATTAACATGCCAATTCGATATAAATGATAAAACCATAGCCCTGAGATGTTAAGTTATTTATTTCCAGGAGTTATACCTATAAATTCAGCACCAACCCATCAGAATTTAAGATGGTCCAACGCTTGGACCAGGCTCTGGAAGCCCCCTATTGAGCTAGGTGTAACTCTTACTTTGCTGGACTACAGGGGTCTGCCCCGAGTGGGGCATTATGACTATTCCATTGCTGCGTGCAGATGCAATCTAAGCCTCACTTATTCCTGAATCTTGATATTTGTCCAATTTTCTTTTTTTTTAAGATTTATTTATGCATAGAAGAACTGGGGTACAGGCCAGAGGTGTGGGAGGTGAGAGGATTCACCAGAGTGGGGAACAAAACAGGAGGAATGCAATTTTCAATAATAGATTCTGCAATAGTGAATAGGTATGTACAGGAGCCTGATGTAATAACATCTTCACGAGTTTAGATTGGAGTCTGCACCTTCATTTATTCATGGGTATATTTATTCATTCAGCCATGAAGTATTTGTTAATTCCTCTCTATCAAGAGGATAAATCCAGGAACCATCCCCTAACTCCAGTCAGTTTGTGTGACCTTGAACATATTTTAAAGCATAAAGCGAGAATAGCATGCATACCTTCCAAGGTGTAGTCAGGCCTAAGTGACCGTGAAATAAAGAAAGCTCCCAGGACAGTGTTCAGCAGATGGTGGACAATCTCTGAATGATGGTAGATTGTTTTTTAAAACATTATGAAAATGGAAATTAAAACTGGGAAGGAAATCTCAAAATGAGAGCCAATCAGCTTCATGTGATTAAGCTTATAGCATCTTGGTAACCTGGTCTTTAAAGGCCTTTGGGGACTTGCCCAAGGTCACCCTGTCAGCAAGTGGCAGAACTGGCAACTCTCTGCTTGCTTCTTCTATGTTAAGATATCATTTTGTATGAGTTTCTCTCAGCCCAGTGGCTGCCCTTCCCGGATCGTCTCTTTTTCAACATCTTCGTTATTTTTATGTGTGTACAATGGGGGCCACTGGATTGTTTTGTATTGATTTATGTTTTTCAGCCAGTTTGTATGTTCCTTGGGATTCAGGCTTAGGTGTGGGGATCTTCTCTTTCCTGTGGAATACAGCCCTTCTGACAACTGTGTCCCCGACACTGGGGTCCTCAGTGAAGGTCACTGACCTGACCGCGACCACAGCCTGCCCACACACTGGGGGGCTAAGTGGCAGGCTCACCCTGGAGGTTTTGTTGCTTTTATAAGCCACTTCCTGCTGATCCTTCACATTGCATTTTCACATGAAACCCCAAGTTCTGCCTCACAGATACTCTATTTGGCCCTGAATTTTGTACAAGAGGATTTAGTTGTTCTTATCAGTGAGATAGACCTATTTCCTGGTAACTGAGTGCAAGAAAGCCAGGGGAGAAAGAAGACAGAAGGTTGTTTTGTTTGCCTGGGCCTAAAAGACCGTGTTTTTTCCTATTACTTAAATCTCTCCTTACCTTCCCAGCTTAGCCACACCAGCTGTTTTTTGTTTCTTAAGGCATTTAAGAATTGTAAATTCATTGACCACTTGTGCAGCTCTTAAGGACATAATTGGACAGTTGTATAAAGAAGTTTATGGGAGAATATTCAGTGAAGTGCTGTTTATTAGACTAAAAGCTGGAAACCTAAGTACTCATTGGTGGGAGGATAATTCAGTAACTTCTGGGATATGCATTCAATAGATTCTTGTGCAGCTATCAAAAATGATGGCATGATTTATGTTTACAGATGTGGATTATATATGTATATACATAAATGTACAGTGAACAAGTAGGTGATGAACTAGTTTATATGGTATAAACTCATTTTCAAAAAGTGATAGTGTGTATGGGTGGACATGTGTGTATAAAGAAAAAAGTCTGTAGCCATATGCATGAAAATATTAACAGGGATTCTTTTTGGTTGGCAGGAACATAGACTTTATCCATTTTGTATGTTGTATTTTTGCTTTCATTCTGTATCCCTAAACTGTGCGCCCTCTGATTGTTTCATAATCAGAAAATTCAGTTGAAAAAGTAATAGGGATAGTGCATGTAGTTATTTTATAGCCCCATGGCACATGCCATCAGGATTCACTAGCCAAGTCAAGATCCCATGCTTTTTTTTTGGGGGGGTCAGTCCTGAAGAGGGAGTTGGGTATTAAAGGAAGGAGGGAATGAGACAGATAAAACACCTACCTTTTAGCTACTTCTTTGGAATACCAAGGCTGGGCTAAGCT